TACCAGACCTTGAATTTTAAGATCTACTGCTGGAGAAGCTTTGGTTTTGAATTTTTCTGCATAAAATATTTCAAAAACAAGATGTTTGTAGAAATTCTGTTGCAAAAATAAGTTTGGAAGTAACAAAGGATGAAAAAGCACCACCCTGACTAGAATCCCTCAAGCAATCTCTTGTTCATCTAATCTGGGTTTTAAACCAATACCGGCACACTGTAAAGACATACCTCACTCAAACATACCATCACTTTAAAAGTTTTAATCTTCTTCTAGCATTGATAAAACAAGGAAATTTTATCTGGCAAGAAGTAAAAATGCAAATGTAATTTCGTTGATATAATTTGTATTTTTGACTATTTTTTGCATTAAAATGATAATTAATACAATTATAAGATTTTTGAATATCTGCCACTGATGAAGGAAAATAAATAAGAAACACATATAGAGCCATTAAAAGGTATTTGGATATAAAATACAATTTACTCATAAATGAAACCACCATGAAACCATGACATACTTACCTACTGCACCCAGAGGCTTGTAAGATAACTGATTAAAGACTCCCAGATTAGTGAAGGTCTAACTGACATTAACCTGTTAACGATCAGCGATTTTTATTGAATTTCTACAAATCTGACAGACTCAAATGGAAATGTTAGTATCAGAAGAAATCCTTGTCATTTTTGAAAGGATGGTTATGAAAGCAAATTCTAAGGGTTACGACAGTGAAGGATTTTGTTAGTACTGATGTTTTTTTCCTGTGGAGTTTAGAGTAGCTTTAATTGTGACTAATGCAGGATTACATGTTAGCAGCATGTATAAGGATTGCTTCCGTCGGAGTCTGTTCAGTCAGTACTCGGTACCATAATTTGAAAGTTTGCATGTGCGCTTAATATTATCAGTACCGATGTCGGATGTGAAATTATACAAGCTGCTTTAGTTGTGCAACATTAAACTCTAAACTAAGACAGAATAGTGAATCCTAATGCGAGAGTTAGGATGTAAATACAAAAATAAAACTAACATAATCGCAAATTAAGGAGCCCTTAACCTATCTTTGAGCTCATAGTTTCAGTTTGTATTAGTGTTTATTTTATTCCCTGTATCTTTCCTCTCCGATTCTCTTGTGTGAACTCCTGTATATCTCCATGTTTCCCTGTCTCGAAACAAGTCTCACTTTTTAATTTTCTCAAGTGTCTTTGATTATCTTCACCTTCATCTCGTTACCCCATTGTGTCCTATTTCCTTGTGTATTTTGGGTTGTGTATGCCTGCGGCACTTTGGATTTTGCCACTTTAACAATGAATTTTGTTTTGGACTTTTGGCATATTGGTGTGACTGAGTGGGTTGCCTTTGGTTCACTCATTCTGTCTCCTGTTGATCTACATTAGGGGCCTAATTCCATGTTTAATGTGAGTGTTGATCTTTTTTTATGCCTTTTAATTTCAGTTATATTTCATTTTCCAGTCCTGATTGATTTTTGATTGTTTTTAGCTGTGTTTTATTTGTTTCACATGTCCATCATTTCCCACTTATCTTTCATTCTCCTGTTTGCTCTCTTGTGTTTCCTCTCGAGTTTTACCCTGTGTTTTGAAAAGTGCTATACAAATAAAGTTATTATTATTACTATGATTTTGTGTTTCTGCACAATCAGTGTAAGACTTGTTTTTCTGTTCACTATGTCTGCCTCAGTGTCCTGCATTTGGCTCCTCTCAACACCTAATTGCAATGCTTGTAACTTGCAGTCTTTGATAGTGTTTTCTAACATGTAAATCTGCCAAATGAAATATGCAGAGCCACCCGCTGTGGCGACATCTCGTGAATAAGGGAGCAGCTGAAAGAAAAAGCCACAGTTTACACTTCAAATCACCCTTTCGACATGCTGTCCACTTGTCATGCCTCTCTGTTGGCCTCCTATCCATCCATCTGTCCAGCTGAACTAGCCAAAGACAGCTTTTCCAACACCCCGATGATAGCCTTTGCACTGTGAACTCTTAGTCCTCTTTCATTATGTGCAAGCAAACCTGGCATTTAATTTTTAAGCTAAAGAGAACTTAAAGGAAGTACAATCTTAACGACATTTATCCTATTACTTTTTACTCACTAGTCATTTTTGAACAAAGCTAATTTAAAAAGTTTAAAAAAAGTATTTTATTATGAAGATTGAGTGAAGGAACTGACTATGGGTGTACCTCATCTGTGCCAGTCTCCTGGTGATGACCACGCCCACACTAGACATTGCAGCAGATGTCACATGGCCTGCATGAGAGAGACTGTCCCGTGTCCTCACATATCTACAAGGAGAAATTCGCAGTAGAAGTCAGGATCTGAATTAAGAAAAGTCTCTCGCTATTGTAATATATTACATAACAGGCAGGTGCATACAGGGAGTACAAAGGTATTAATTCAGACGTAGCTAACAATAAGCTCATAGACGTCACTGGCGACAGTCCATCTGGCTGAAGCAGATCCCTCACTCTGTCTCTAATGAACGCCTCAGGCTGGTCCTCCTGTTTCTTGTTAATACTGCTGTTCCTTGTGCTAAGTCAGGCTGTGAGGCTATTAACGGGGCACCAATCCTATTTGACAAGGAAAATCCCATCCCTTGTTTCTTTGAAGAGATCCCTCTTTAGCATGTGAGTGCAGGACAAAACTTTGGAAAATCCCTGCGTCATAAAACATAGCAAGAACGTTTATTATTTTGTGCATATAATGAGGAACACTCACACATTGGAGTGGCTGATGTCATCCAGAGTTGCAGAGGCTGTGAGATATCTGAATGGACAGAACAAGCACAGGTTGACAGATTATTGCGCTGACACAATAGAGAGCCCACGACAGTCATTAGAGTACTTTCCATGGTTACGTAACTTTTGTTACATAACCATGGAACCAAGATATGTGTGGTAAGTGATCTATCACGACAGTGGTTTAGGTGTTTTAAACCAGTTAAACTATCAATGGTTTTCAAACAATTAGCAAACATTACTATGTTTTTGAGGACCAAAGTGCACATACGGGGCTGAGGTCTGGACCTCTTGCCATCCTTTGGATAAGCTCTGTTTGATGTTACCGAGCGGACTCATTCCTAGTTGCCTTCTGATGTCTGCTGCATATTGTTCTTTGGCCATATGTATTTTTTTAACATTACAGGCTTTGAATGTATTGTAACTATTTTGCATTGAGCCACGGTTACCAGACCTTGAATTTTAAGATCTACTGCTGGAGAAGCTTTGGTTTTGAATTTTTCTGCATAAAATATTTCAAAAACAAGATGTTTGTAGAAAT